AACCGAGTATTAAGAAAAAGGGTACCCTGATTATTAAGGGACTTCTGGGGAACATGGTCATCAAGGTCCAAGAGATCCTCTCTACCGGATCAGGAAACTCAGAAAAGAGGGTTTAGGGTTCAGGGTTTAGGGTTTAGGGTTAGGAAACTCAGAAAGGAGGGTTGTACGGAAGGTGGCTAATCCGTTCCCGCATTTACTAAACACCGCCCCTAGTAAAAGCATTTTTGGGCCGCACTAGCGGGGTCCGGAGCAAGAGCAAGAGCAGGAGTAAAGCAAGACCAACAGCAGGAGCAAAAGCAAGAAGAGCAGCAGAAAAAAGCAAGAGTGGGAGCAACAGCAAGAACAAGAGCAGGAGCAACAGCAATCAAGAGCAAGAGTAGGAGGACTATCAAGAGAAGGAGCAGGAGCAAGAGCAGGAGTAAGAGCAAGACCAAGTCAACAGCAAAGGCAAGAGCAAGAGGCGGAGCAAGACCAAGATCAGGAGCGGGAGCAGGAGACGCAGCAGGAGCAGGAGCAAAAGCCAGCGCCGGAGCAAGAGCCGGAGCAGTAGCAAGATCCATCAAAAGTGGCAATAGAGATAGAAATGACCCCCTTTAGTGTGAATTATAGCACCTTCCGAATGGTTATTAGGGGAATATTTTTAGGGGGAAGGGATTGCAGTACACGCCCCCGCACAAGCTATTCGTCCTATATCCTAAACCCTAAGCAACCTTAATTACCAAGTCCGCTTGTGGCCCAAGTAGCAAACCGAAGCCACCTTCAGGTGATCAACGCTTTGCAACTCGGCTCCTGAGGATTTCTCGTCCTAGAGCTTTGATTCCCACATACTACTACCCAGAGAGCCCAATACTCCTTAAATAAGGAATATGCCTTAAATATAGGAGCCGTAGTATTACTTGGGTATTGGGCTCTCTGGGTACTTAACGTTTATAGGGGGCCGTAGTATTACTTGGGTATTGGGCTCTCTGGGTACTTGACATTTATAGGGGACCGTAGTATTACTTGGGTATTGGGCTCTCTGGGTACTTGACGTGTATTATGGAATTGTAAGCCCCCAAAACCATGATAGGAATAGTCTTCCGGGGCCAAATTCCATAATAGTAGTGTCTTTGGACCCTCTGGGTATGGTCCTTAAACCCCATCTTTTAGCAGCACGATTCTTTGGGTTCCTGAACGTACTTATGCTGTGGTGTACCATAACATACTCCAAAATCTATTGGTATTACAACTCCCTAGATGCACCGAACCCTCAAATTTCAACTCGGAACCCTAGCCTTCAACCCAAAATCGAAACCTTTACATGAAGCTCCCAACCCTAATCCTTCATTCTTGAGAGAGGTCGGAGCTCAGGAAAACGTCTAAAGAAAGTTTCACTCCGGATTCCTAAATCCTCACTGGGCTTTTCGGCAGCCAAACATGGAAGGTTTGATTCGCGGGCTCGGCTTGGATTTCAGGGTGTTGGGTTTAGGTTTTAGCATACCCGCAGGGTAGAGGTTTTGGGTTCAGCAAGATTTCAGGGTGCTAGGTTTCCCAGAGAGCCCAATACCCCTTTAAAAGGAATATAGCCTAAATGATAGGGGCCGTAATGTTATGATTTAAGGTATCTTCTTGAATTAAGGGGTATTGGGCTCTCTGGGTTTCTGTTACATTAGGTCGCTCAGCAGTGCTTTGATACCCTTGTCTCTTACTCAATATTCATACTGAATGTGCAAAATTATTTTCTATGGGGTTACTGAGGAAGCTAGACATTTCCGGCCCGTGTAGCCTTGACAATTAGGGCTGCGCGCTGCCCGCAGAGCCTTAGACTCAGACTGACCTGACATGCCCGAAACCCGATATACTTTAAGGTTTTAGATTCAGAACAAACGTAGGGTTGATATTTGGGGCAAGCATACTTACAATTGCTTATGCTTTGTAAAGGTCCCTGTTAAACCTTACTCACTACGACCTCGCATCCCACAAGAATGGTAGACAGTGTCCGGACTTTGAAACCGCGGCGCCCGCGCTTTGCCTATTGTAGACTGCCTCGGGGTCAAATAAACGGCTGAATTATTAGACAAAGTGTGCCCCTTATTCTCCCTGTAAATGAAAAAAGTGTGTGTGTGTGTATATATATATATGTATGTATCTATATATATATATGCATGTATGCACATGTTTACATATAGCCCCAGCATCCTGCTCGAATTTTGCAGGCGAATTAAAATACGTAAATATAAAACAGAAAGCGTTCCGAGTTGTTTGAGACCCACTGCCAAGCGAGGCTGGTGCTACTGCCCAAGATGCTTGTGTGGAAGCTCACTGTGCAAACAGGCCTGGCCTTTCTGATGTTCTCCGGGCGACTTATGGTTGTATACGCGGCTTTGCAAGGGCTAGCTGGACTTTCAGGTATTCAAGGTGTTCGGGGTTCAATGGTTCAGGGTTTAGGGCTTGAGGTTTCGTGTTTGAGGGGTTTAAGGGTTACAATGGCTTCATTAGGGTTGTTGTCTTTGACATGGAGCCCTACAGGGCTGTTTTCAAGCTCTACCGGCCCGGAAAGAACCTTGCATATTCTCCAAAATCCCTTTCAATAACCTATTCCTCAACAGGCAGGGTCTGTGTGCCATAGAAGCTTATGAACCTTGTTCAAAGGAGGCGCAACTTCAATCGCCAATGAAACCTTCCAAGCGAACCCTGTAACCTTCATAAAACCCTATCTATCAGCCCCTGAAGGACCCTGCAAGACCTGCATAGTTACAGACACGAAGCCCAAACCCCCCTAACAAGCCTTGTAAGTTCTTTAACACCATGTACAAGCCCTATAGACTCGATAAAACCGCTTAGGTCAAACATACTAGAAGAACTATGTCCAGGCGTTGTCTTGCTCATGGAGACAGCCTGAAATGAAGACCATATGCAACCCCGGTAACCCAATGGAAAGTCTAGGTGTTGTCTTTCTCGTGGAGACAGCCTATAATTCTGGACCTAAACAAGCCCTGTAGACCGAATAAGACCTACGAAAAACCTAAACTACCTGATGTCGAAATCGTGTGTTTGCAGCCTTCTTTGCCGAGGGCGTAAATCTCCCGAGGGGTTGGCTCTGACCTGGTCCCGCGAAGAAAAGCCACTACACCTCCAAAACCCACAACTCTCTCCAGGCGCTGTCTTCCTCCTAAACCCCAAACCTTAAACCCTAAACCCCAAACTCCCCTAAACCTTAAACCTTAAACCCTGAACCCTAAACCAGGCGTTGTCTTTCTCATGGAGACGGCCTCGATCTCGGACTTGGTGGTCAACTCTATTGCGCTCCTTGGCCCAAGAGAAGACGTGCTCGGACTTGCGTGGGTTTGAGTAGAATTCAGGGTTTTGGGGATTTAGTTTAGAGGTTTGGGTTTTTGGGTCTAAGAGAAGACATGCTTGGACTTTTCAGGGTTTTTGGTTTAGGGGTTTAGAGTTTAGAGGTTTGGGTTTAGGGTTTTGGTGCTTGGGTTTTGGTGGAATTCAGGGTTTTGGGTTTTGGGATTTAGGGTTTAGAGGTTTGGGTTTAGGGTTTGGGGTTTTGGGTTTTGGGTAGGGAATTGAGTTTAGGGATTTGGGGTTTAGAGGTTTGGGTTTAGGGTTTTGTGTCTTGGGTTTTGGTTAGGGCTGTGGCGTTCCTAGTGGTTTTTGAGGCATTACAACGGTTTCGTACTGTTAGGTATTAGGGGGCCGGTCGTCATCTTCGTGGCGCTTCTGTCGTTCCCGGGAGCTGTGCAGAGACACATGGAGCCTGAAAGGTACCGGACTCTGCAATATAAAAGGGGTCGGAATGATCAGTGTGGTTAGGAGTGTCTTTTAATCCCCTTGCCGTCCTATTTAATCAATGCGATGATCTGCCCGAAACCCCGTTTTACTTGTTGCGGCCCTGCATAGGCAAGCTTTACAAAGAATGTTAAAAGTCTTCATCCGCCTAAGAAGCCCCGAGAAAGGCTGGACTTTTTGAGTACCCGAGCAAGCCCCACAAAAACCCTTTAAGATCTCGTGGAAGCACGTATACGACGGCCTAGACTCGCAAAGCCTGGATCGGAGCCCAAAGACCAAAAACCTTCTCCCTAAATTCCTGACCGTTCGGTTTTGGAGCCCATATCAAAGTGCAGTATGGGTAGTTCAACATTTAAAGCACCCTAACAGCGACCTAATCTAGAGAGCTACCCATATGACCAACGGACAAAAACCTCGGCTTAATCCCGCAGTGCCAGGTTGACATTCATCCTCTCCATCGATGAGATGATCTGCCCCTTTGCCAAAGCTTGGCATCAGATACTGACTAAGACAGGAGCCCCTAGAGGGGGTGAGGGGCTTAGGGCCGTAGTGGTAGGAGGCAGCGCAGCAGTGGACAGACAGGAGGATGAGAAGGAGTAGTAGTAGTAGTAGTAGTAGTAGTAGGAGCCGGATTGGGGGTGGGAGTGGGAGTAGGAGAAAGAGAGGGAGTAGGAGTCATGATCTAGCAATGGCGCAGCACGGGATCCCATCATCAACCTTCAAACTGCAAAGCTACCCATAGGCTCCTAAGTCGTTTCTTTTTGGGATTACCTTTATCGGATTCTAAATGTAAGCCACAACAAGGAACTGCTTAGGGGCCTATTGGTAAACTCTACAGCCTGAACAATGGAACCCTGCCCCTTACAACCTTCAACGGCAAATGCTGCGCTGCATTCGCAGCCGAAAGCCTTGCAATGCATTGCAGAGCCACATTACAAGGCATTTAAGATACTGCTAAAATTGAATCTAGGGCTTAGGGTTTAGATGTGCGGAACAGGTGGTGAAGCTTTCCGAAGGAGTGGTGCTCTTGCATTCCGTGAAATTGGGGCACAGAGGGCAGACAGCCCCCGCGGGATGAAATCTTCCACACCCTGAAGACGTCGCGCTTGAGGCCCCACATCCTGAGTTGAATTTAGGGTTTATAGGGTTAGGGATTTAGGGTTTTTTTAGGGGCATCGAGGACGGAGGCTCCCGGGGAAGAACAAAAAGCGCAAGGAAGATAGGAGGCTCTTCGCCCAGTGTAGGGTCGAACACAAGGGTTTAGGGTTTAGGGCATCCAAGCTTTGGAAGATTGCCGATGTAGGGGCCTAAAGAATTACGAAGACTAGTTTGAGGAGTTGTAGGTTATAGTTATAGTACAATATACCCCAAAGCCCTAATCTAATTACTAAAGCCCCTATATGAACTGGCTCTTCGTGATCTGATGGTTGGGACCGTAGGGGGTGGCTTGGCTCAAGGATGCAACCGAAGCACTGGACTGGTTTAGGGGTTAGGACTGGGCTGAAGCCACAAAACTTACATGCAAGACTTAGCCTTTAGCAATGAGGGTGTAGGGTGTTGAGTTTGGGCCTTCGGCTTTAGTGTCGAGGGTGTATTTAGAGTTTACGGCAGAAGCAGCTGTGCCGACTGAAGCTGCAGCATCGAGTTCTCACGATCAGCCGAAGAAAACACCTGAGAACTTCTACTTGCCTGCTGCAGCAGGAGAGTCGATTCCACCAAAAGCTAAAATTGAGAAGATCAACTTCACGATCAATGAAGGCAAAGGTGATCAGGTTGAGATGTACATCGAGTACTCGGCGACTGACACCTATGCTGGTGGTGACCTTCACTACCACTATTACACCGACCGCTACTGGCTCACAAAGAACGAAGACGGAGAGACCTGCTATCAATGGGGATCGGAGCAGGGAGGAAGAAGCATCCTCAAAAGCTCTTCGCAACAAAAGATCCCGTCTTCCAGAAGTCCGAACCCCCGAAACCCTAACCCCTAAAACCCCAAATCCCAAACCCTTGCTCCCTACCCATAGGCTCCTAAGCCGTTTCTTTTTGGGGATACCTTTATCGGATTCTAAACGTAAGCCACAAAATGGAACTACTTAGGGAGCCTATGGGTAAACCCTAAACCCTAAACCCCTAAACCCCTAAACCCCTACAGTCAAAGCCGGAAAGTTGGAAGATGGTTTACCGAGATTGGCGCATGACGCAAGACATCTTCCAACTTTAAGTTTGNNTTCATGTCTTCCAACTTTGGTGCACATAATGCCTTCCTGCAGGTACTGCCGCATTCAGAAACACGCTCAACATTCTTTGCTCCAGGCACTGGCGAGATTCAGAAACTGTCGGGGGCACCGCGGAATCGCTTTCACCCAAGTACTGGCAGGTCCAGGAACCACCGTACTGCATTCAGAACCACGCTCAAAATGCCTTGCCTCAAGTACTGGCGGGATTCAAAACACGGCGGATCGCTTTCCCCGGCAGAATCGCTTTCCCCCAAGTACTGGCAGTTCCTAATTCAGTCATGACTGTACACAATGCGTTTCCCCAAGTACTGGCGGGAGTCACGGCGGAATCGCATTCGCCCAAGTACGGGCATTTCCATAACCCACCGTACTGCATCCAGAACCACGCCGAAAATGCTTCGCCCCAAGTACTGACGGAATTCAGAAGAAATCAACGGCATGGCGGAATCGGTTTCCCCAAAGTACTGGCGGTTCCTGGACCCACCGTGCGGGGTGCCCGTTTCCGGGATGCGGGGTGGCGGGGCGCTGCGAGGAAAGAAATACGGTGTTTGCCAAGGGGAGTAAACTTGGAAGATCGCACTAAGAGGCTTGCTCCTTTTGGAGACCATGCGAGGTGCCAGACTGCCCGGAACGGAAAGTTGGAAGATTGGGTTTCAGGACCAAGCGTGCCGCAACGCACTTTCCAACTTTCCGGCTTTGACCATAAACCCCTAAACCCCTAAACCCTAAACCCCAAAACCCTAAACCCTAAACCCCTAAACCCCTAAACCTCTAAACCCCTAAACCCAAAATCCTACAGCCAAGGCGAGACATTAACTTCGCAGTCGACTCTGACCATGCTGTCTAGCTGCAAGGACCGAGGCCTAAAGGAACTCCCCAGAGTTCAGGGGTTTAGGGGTTAAAGTTTAGGGGTTAAAGGGGCCTATAAGGGTTCCTTTAAAGGGTGCTATAAGGGTTCCCTTAAAGGGATCTATAGGGGTTTAGGGGTTTTGGGGTTTTAGGGGTTTTGGGGGTTTAGGGGTTTAGGGCTTAAAGTTTAGGGGTTTAGGGTTTAGGTATTTAGGGCTTGGCGGTTTAGGGTTTGGGGGTTTAGGGTTTAGGGGCTTGGGGCTATAGGATTTGGGAGTTTAGGGTTTGGGGGTTTAGGGGTTTAGGGTTTAGGGATTCAGGCGTTTAGGGTTCAGGGATTTAGGGCTTAGGGTCAAGGGTTTTGGGTTCAGCAGCTCCGGATCGAGCAATCTCTAGTCGAGCTTTCACTTGGGAAAAAAACCCACCCAGCCAAGATTCCGACTTACATCAAGAAACCATGATACTCTTATTAACTAAACTTGAAGGCAAATCCTACCCCGTATACACCCTGAACCCCCCTGGTCCCTAAGCCCCAAAAACCTAGGCCCTAAACCCTAAGCCACAAAGCCTTTGACCAAAAATCCTAAGCCCCAAGCCTAAGCCCTAAATCCTAAGCCCCAAACCCTAAGCCCCAAACCCTAGCCGTCGAAATCGCCGTACTCCAACGAATGGCCCCGGTCGACCGGCTCGTCGTTGGAATTTGGCAATTTCATCTCGCTAGCGGAATCGCTAAATTCCCACGAAGGGCCGGCTTCGTGGGACTATGGCGCCTACACCCTAAACCCTAAACCCCTAAACCCTGAAACCCTACAGCCCTAAACCCTGAACCCTAAGCCCTGGCCTAAACCCTCAGTGTTTAGGTTTCAGGGGAACTCATAAGGGTGCTGTACTGTTTTGTCCAGGGCTTCGTAGTCCCTAGGCCTTTTATGTCTAGTGACGTAGGGCATTGGATCTCTTGAAGGACCGGCAGACCAAGAGGAAAGGTAACTATAGCCGAAGAGCATTCATAAAACCCTAAACCCTAAACCCACAAAGCCCTAAGAGCAGTCATAAAACCCTAAACCCGAAACCCATAAAGGACTAAGAGCGTTCGTAAAACCCTAAAACCTAAATCCATAAAGTCCTAAGAGCATTCGAAAATCCCAAACCCTGAACCCATAAAGCCCTTAAGAGCATTCATAAAACCCTAAACCAGTAGCCCTTGCTAAGTACAGGGCTTGTCGAGGCTCGGAAATCCTTCGAAGCCTGGCTCTGGACCGATCCCTACATCCCGAAGCCCTCAGGGTTTAATGGGATATATGATATATAGCTCCAAGGATTCACGCCTTCTGGTTTAGGGCTTAGGGTTTAGGGTTGAGGGTTGAGGGTTTAAAGTTTAGGGTTTAGGGCCCAGCCCTACACTCTTGAAGGCCGGAGGGCTTTGGTTGTAGGGTTTAAAGTCTAGGGTAGGGCTTAGGGTTTAGGGTTTATAGGGTTTTTTTGTCAAGCTTCAAGCACGGAACATGCGCGCTGAACTCTTTCATCTTACACCTGAAGCAAAGGCCCGAAATCCTTAAGATCCTATGTCCCCGAACATGTCATAGGGCCCAAGACCCTCTAAGCAAGCCCAGGACGAGTCATCACTGTTCGGTTCTGGGCCCAAGATGCGAGAACCTGTATAAAACAATTCAGCAAGCTCCATGAAGCTGCACAACACCTCGTCTAGTGGAGCCTTACACAGAGCCTCACAAGTCCATTATGAAAAGCTCATCTCCGCCGCCGCCGCCCAAAGTAATGAACCCGACAACCCGAAACCCAAACCCCAAAGCTTTCAATACTGAACCCCAAGTCCTATGTGCTTAGGGTTTAGGGTTTAGGGGCTTTGGGTTTAGGGGTTTAGGGTGTAGGGTATTCTCCAAAACCCAGGACCCCCCCAATCGTAAACCCCAGCCGAGCGGCATTCTTCAGAAGACCTGCCGGGGGGGCTCTGAGGAGAAAGGATATCGCATGAAACCTTTCAGCCGGAAGGAGCTTAACAATAATGGATGTAGGTGCCTTCATAATTACCTACATTATTTTTGGGAGTTCCTGTTATTATATTTATAGTAGAATATACCACAAAACCCAATTCGAAGAATGAAGGCCACTAAATTTCACTAAATGAACTGAATCCGAAGCTCTGCAGCGAGGACTACCCTCTCTTCGATGTGGAGGCCCTCTGCAGTTTCTTCCGGGTTGCTTCGTGGTAAAGGTCCCTAAGCGTCCATGTGCCCACATAGCTGATACTGTGGCTCCAGAGTACCTATAAACAGGGACTACGTTAAGGCCAAAGTTTGGACTATTTGGGTACATGGATCCTTATAACTCGAATATCCTTTAGCCCGTATGGTACCCTTATAGAACCTTAAACCCTATAACCCCTAAACCCTAAACCCTACACCCTTTCCTTAAGCCTTTATGATACTCTTAGAGAACCCTTAAAGACCTGTTTGAAGGAGCCCTATTTGGGCTACATGGACTCTTAGGGAGTTGTAGCTTCGGGGGCCTAGAGACCTAGGGTTCAACAATGGGATATGTAGCTCCAAGGATTTACGCCCTCGGGTTTAAGGCTCGGGGCTTGGAGCTTAGGGTGTAGGGCTTAGGGCTCAGGGTTTAGGGCTTAGGGTTTAGGGCTCAGGACTTATGCGGCTTAGGGTTTAGGCATGGTTTAAGCCTAGGGTTTGGGGGTTTGGGGGTACCCCCCCAAGTGCCCCTTAATATAGCCCTTCTGGTCCCTTGTAGTGGGTATTTAGAGTAACAATAGAGGGTAGTTGGGGGGGTCTAGGTAGGGTTTAGGGTATAGGGTTTAGGGTTTGTGCCCGTGTTTGGTGCTATGGTGAGCCTTGCCGGTTGATTAAAGGGTCCAGGTGAGTTCGCATCAGCATCTTGAAGCTGGCATGTTTTAGGGTTTAGGGTTTATGCGCACATTCGGGTAGGAAGCGACCACTTCCTCAGCACCAGTTTACCTTGGTCAACCTGATAGACTTTAACCTGGGCGTCCTTACAAAAGCCCGACCCTCAACCCGAAAACCTGCATGAATCCCTAAGAAACTATGCTATCATCTGCTACCCAATTGCTGGTTATCCCTGAATTTATGAAAGCAGTCTCGTTCTGGATATATTGCTATTCTTTTGGGGCTTGCAGTCTCACGCAGGCCATGGCAAAAATGACGGACGTCGAGCTCATGGAAAAGTACGGCAGTGGAGACAACGCACGCCTAGGTGCGATTTAACGTTGTTTGGTTTTATGTGTGCATGGGTATGATTTGACTAGCAGACTAGCATGTCAACAGGACATTGAACTTACTTAGAGACCAGATGATTTTCGCCCAGATGCTCCTCGGACGGTGCCTAAACACTTCACTAACCTTGACAGTGTTCAGTGTTCGTGCGGCGGTCGGAGATGTTTTTGCAACTGGATTAACTCAGTGTTTACCGAGCTATCTGAATGCAATCCTCTATCCTCATTCATGTTCTGATTTTTTGGTGCGAATGAACGCAGCCCCCACGCCATGTCCAAGTCTTATAGAACAGCTCTGTGACTGTCGTTCTGCTTGCCCCAATCAGTCGTAGGCTTCTTCACGGAAGTTAGAGGCCTGAATCTTTGCCAATACTGTTTTTCAGGGTTCCAAATGTAGACACGACTATAATATGCCCCAGACCCATCTTCCAATTGTTGAGGCCCCTATGCTAGTCAGTATAATGTTTTTGTTTTTTTTTGTGATGGTGGCGCCATTCCCGGCGCAGGCGTTATGGACGTCTTTCGGATACTGCTTCCCCCAAGACACTTGGGCATTGAAAAGGATGTCTTCGGGATTTAGCGGTTTGGGGGAACCTTAAACACTAGACCCTAAACCCTAAACCGGAGCAAAATGTGCTCCTTGATTGAAGTCTTCCTGAGCACAATTCTAAACCCCCAGCCCGAAATCCAGAGTAGTTCTGCATCTCCAGATGCTCGCCCATAGAGGCTCCTCGGTAGTTCCTTTTTGTGGCCTATATTTAGAATCCCATAAGGTACTCCCAAAAAGGAACTACTTAGAATGGAGCCTAGGCTCAGATTCCTGGGCCCTGAAACCGGAAGAGCCGAAGCTGCAAAGCCGACCTCTCACAGTGCCGAAGATCGAAGACAAAGTACTTGGGAGTCATGGGGCGCGGCAAGTAGATGTAAAAAATCTAGACTATGAAGGTTTAGGGTTTAGGGTCATAATAGACCTCGGCACTTATGAGTCCTCCTTGCTTCTACTTCCGATTATGGACTTTCACTCAGTAAACACTGGTCCTTCCCCTCCGCTAAACGGTGGATTGAGCCAAGGAATGCTGTGCCTGCCCCTCAGAGCAAGTGATGGCATCGTTGGCGATGCCCTGACGCAGAATGGTGATAAGACCGAAGCATCAAGCGATAGCAATAGGAGTGCCAGTCCTCTTGTCAAAGTATGCTCCCACCACTTATAGTTGAGTGATTTAAACACCCTGCTCTTCTCTTTCGAACTAGTTCCTAGTTGCTCCTGCAGGACTTCCGTCCCTGTCGTCCTCCGGGGTTGTTGTTTGCCTTTGGTTTCCTTGTGAAATCCTTGCAAAACCTACCTGAACCGCAGGTACAGGATGTTAGGGGTTTCTCAATTAATAGTGCGAAAAGAGGTCGACAAGGGTTTTACACTTGCTCCAAAACGGCCTGTTTGGGATGCTAGGGTTTTGGATTTGGGGGTTTCGCATGCCTGTCTCTGTGTGTGTGTGTGTGCGTGTGTGTCCGTTCGTGTACGAGTGTATGCATTAACTCATGTATGTATGCATGCATTTATGCACGGAACCTTATGTTCGCATACGTAGTACTTTTGCATATACCAAAGTGAAGTTGGGACTTTGCAATCCTCATGTTTAACCCGTGAAAATCTCGCATGAGGCCCTCGCAAAACTATATCCCTTAGCATCAAAATAGCCCAAAATCCTTATATAATAGGGTCTTTGGGCCCAAAAGCCTTAAAATTGGAGTCCTTGGATGCTACGGGTATTAAGCAACAATATGTTACCAGGTGAAAACCATGAGTTACCCTCTGAAGATCCTGGCTCCTCCTATACAAACCCAAGCACCTCTTGCTTGCTCAAGCCCCGACACAAGAGGGCCGGACGCTTGACAATCCATCTATCCTTTTCTAGAATCCTTGCAATCGGTTTTGCTGAAGCGCATATTAACATAGACTCATAGAGTTTACACAGGTGTTGAACATGTAGCGCTTGAAAGATGGAAAAGCCCAAAAAGATTTGTGCCATCTTGGATCGCATGCCTTGCATGGCCCTAGCTCGATTTGTTGAGCGGTTAAGGTATGGTTGCGGCGCGACAGGATTTTGTGCACAAGCTGCCACGGAGCGATTGATATGTACATAGTTAGTGTGTGTGTATATATATATATATAGGGCGAGAGAGACCCATACACATATGTACGTACGTCCATACATCCATCCCTACATACATGTGTACAGACATATCCCCAAACAGGCATCCATGCATATGTGACTCGAAGTGTTTATGGCGACCTGTCACCCAGGGGTCATTGGCATCACCGGCTACTTTGTTTTCCGCAGCCGGGCTGCATCGCAGGGTGTAAGGTGAGTGAGTGAGTGAGTGAGTGAGTGAGTGAGTGAGTGAGTGGGGTTGGGGGCTAATAGTCAGATGCTTTGGTTAACTTGCTTGACAGCTAGGGTCGGGTCCTTTGGAAGATAGCACTCAAAGAAGTGAACCTAAAGAATCGTCAATTCCTAAGCTCGAAACTCCTAAACCCTGAAAGTCTAAAACCGAGAAGCTCTGGCCGGTTCTGACAGTTTCAATCCCGGTTTTAAAGTTTAAAGGTTCTCAGGGTTTGGGGGCTTGGTGGTTTAGGATTTATATAGGGCTCAAGACCTCGAACCAGAAGCCTCAAGTCAATGACTCCCTGGAAACTCAATTCGCCAGAAAAAGCCAGACGCCCTGAAGCCCTAAAACATTTGATTTTCTACTTCGTGCTCAGCTTCTGGACGTTGCTTTTTCAAAGTTTCATGAACCTGGGTTTTTTAGGGTTTATGGCTTTTAGGGTTTAGGGCTTAGGGTTTAGGTTTTAGGGTTTAGGTTTTAGGGCTTAGGGCTTAGGGTTTAGGGTTTCCAAGCTTGACTGAGGATCAGAGGACGTGACAATCTTGCAAGTGCTCTTTAGTGCGTCGCCCCGCAGCTCCGCAAACCCGTTTGAGCATGTTCTACAGCAGAGTTTCCCGAAGCGGTCCGAGGTAGGCTGAACTCCTTTAGAACGGATCCCTGAAATGTTCTCGAAGTTGCTCCAACTTCAGAACAGCCCCTGCTCAAGAGAAACGGTCTTCGCGGCACACCATCCGAAGCAGAGGATACTACGAGGCTCACTGCCAGAGACATGGAGCAGCTTGGCTGTCAAGAGCCGGAGTACTTGTTGGGTTGTTCAAGTCTGCTCATGAATATGGCAAGTACGAGTATGATGGGAATGAGAACAATGACGACCTGATGATGGCGTAAACCCCTAAACCCCTAAACCAAATTAGGGCCCCGTTTAGGGTTTCTTTTCAAAAGGCCGCCGTACTATAATATTGGGGACCGAAAGGGGGACCCTAATTTAGAGAACTACCCACATAGGTCGTTCAATATCTGTCTGAAGGAGGGTTTCGGGTTGATGTCGCTACCCATAGGCTCCTTAGTAGTTCCTTTTTGGGATTACTGTATAGGATTCTAAATATAAACCACAAAAAGGAACTACTTAAGAGCCGATAGGTAAACCCCAAAAGCCCGTAGTTTAGCTTTGAGTTCCGGGATTCACGGTGGCTCTCCCCCAAAAAGCCATAAGTTTTCTTTCCTGTTAACTAGGACATCCAAAATTCGCGCGGATGCGGGAATACGCCACACAGTTCGGCATACCTAGATCCGCAGCGCAGATTGAGGCACCGAAAATCTGATCTCAAGGCCACCGAAAACACCGGCTCTGCGCGATGATATAGGGGCCTAAATAATTAGCTGTACTATTTTTTTTCAGAAAGGACTGTTGTGTGGGATGGAAAACGGTTGTTTCTATCTGTTGGATGCAAGTCAAGAAATGTACTGCGGAGCCTTCTATCAACAAATCTTCATCCCACATGAGGGTTGAAAACACAAAAAAATCATCCCACACAACAGTCCCCTCTCTTTTTTTTTTTGGGGGGGGGTCCTTATTTAATTATAGTATATTATAGTATAACATCACCCAAAACCTTTTTTGCTTCCTTTTTTTATTCAGGCCCGCCTATATCATCCGGATCTTCCTCTGGTCGGATCTGTGGAGGGTGGCTCAAGCGCTCGTGACCCCGAGGCTCCCACAGAAGGCGGACGCAGCCGCGCGAGCCGGACGCTGTCGCTAGTGGTTTAGGGGTTTAAGGTTTAGGGTTTAGGGTTTAGGGATTTAGGGTTTAGGGGTTTAGGGTTTAGGGGTTTAGGGATTATGGTTACCCAGAGAGGCCAATACCCCTTAAATAGAGGAATAGACCTTAAACTATAGGGGCCTTAGATGTTATGATTTAAGGCCTATTCCTTAATTAAGGGGTATTGGGCTCTCTGGGTAGTGGCTTAGGGTTTAGGGTTTAGGGGCAAATTTGAAAGCAGGTCAGGTACATAGGCTGCTTCGTCATGACATGCTGTTGGAACGCAGAGACGAAAGCGAGCAGTACGTGGATGGTGCAGAGGGAAGGACATGCATCATGGGCGGGCATGCCCTAAACCCTAAACCCTAAACCCAAAACCTAAAACGTGCAACTCTGGACCCTGCATATGTGCCTGGAGATCTAGCTTTGGCAGTCCATGAAGAAGTTCTGTGACCCAAACTACCCCGGTGAGAAGCTCAAGAGCAGACCGAACCTATTACGGCAGCCCTAATTAGAGGCCTTGCCTTAACTTTTCATACTCACATAACCCTTATCAGTAAAGAGCCCTGTTAAAGCAACCCTAAATGCCTAAACCCCCAAATAGAGCCCTGTGAGTAGCACAAACTCAAACCTAAATCCTTTACAATGAGCCCTCAACCCTAAACCCTTTCGAGGAATCTAATTCCTTAAGAAACCCTTGTAAGGAACCTAAATCCTGCTAATCCTAGGTAGTATGAGGGAGACCCCTGAACGGCGACCGTTCTTAGCCCTACTTATGACTCTCTTAAAATGAACCTTTTTGAGAGGGTCTATCTCCACGGGTCGCCCTAATCCTAACTCCCACTATTTTACCGAAGCCCCTAAACCCTGAACCCTAAACCCTAATCCTAACTCCTAGTTACCCAAACCTAAACCCTAAACCCTAATCTTAACTCCTAGCTGAGGAGCCCTAAGACCCTAAACCCTAATCCTAACTCCTAGTTAAGGAACCCTAGGACCCTAAACCCTGAAATCTTAAATTGTCATCTTGAGGCCCCTATAATTTAAGGTATATTCCTTATAAACCCCAAAACCCTTAAGCATTGTAGGGGTACCCTAAGACCCTAAACCCTAAACTCTAAACCCTAAGACCCTAAACCCCTAAGACCCTAAACCCTAAACTCTAAACCCTAGGACCCTAAACCCTAAACCCCTAAGACTCTAAACCCTAAACCCTAAAAGCGTGAAATCTGCTTGCCCCGGGACGAGGCCTCCTTCCTCTACGTGCCGCGGCCGCTTCATCTCCCGAAGTCGCAGGCAAGGGACGGGGGCTTTAGGGGGTTTAGGGGGTTTTAGGTTTTAGGGTTTAGTTTAGGGGTTTAAGTTCAGGGACCAGGGGTTTAGGGTTTAGGGTTTAGTCCAGGGTTTAGGGCTTTAGGGTTTTTTGGGGTTTCGGGTTTAGTCTGGGGTATATGGGGTTTAGGGGTTTATAGGGCTTAGGGATCTGCGGTTTAGGGGTTTATAGGGTCCAGGGTCTAGGGCTTTAGGGGTGTTTAGGGTTTAGGGTGTAGAGGGTTTAGGGGTTTATAGGGTTTAGGGTTTAGCTCAGTGTTAGGGTTCCTTGGGCTTCTGGGGCTTTTGGGGCTTTAGGGCTTCTGGGGTGTATAGGATTTCGGGGTTTTAGGGTGCATCGGGCTTAGGGGCTTTCGGGTGGATAGGTTTAGGTTCCGGGGCCTCAGGCATTTAGGGTGCTTAGCCCTTTGTTCCTTTGTAGCGTTGGGGTATCAGGATTTCGTATAGAGATCTGCAAGTCGGTCGTCATGTTCGGTTGTCTTCGTGCACACTACAGCGTTTATAGTACATCCCCAAACCCTGGTCTAACTGTCAAAAGCGCCCAACAATTAAGATCATGTGTGTGGGTGTGTATATATATATATGTATATATATATAATATGTATATATATATAACCCCAGCCAAACCGTTGCAAATTGCGAACGACCCGGCCTTGCTTGTACTTGCTAAGGCCATCTTAGGGTCCACGAGGTCTTGCCCTCAACCCCATAAGCCCTAAACCCCAAACCCTATAAGCCCTAAACCCTATATATATATATATATATATATATCCTGTAAACCCTAAACCCGAAACCCTACAAAGCCTAAGCCCTAAACCCCATAAGCCCTACACCCGAAACCCTACAAACCGTAAAGCCTAAATCCTATAATACTATAAGCCCTATAAGCCCTACATGAATTGGGGTCCCCTGCAAAGCTCGAGCCAAAGGCGTCCAACTTCACTCCCGGACCCCTAGGGTGTAGGACCCGAGACCATAAAACCCCCAGAGAAATGGAGTCTAATAGGAATTCATCGGGGTTTATGTGGGCCTTGGATTTTTTCGGGTCGCTTCAAAGATCAGGGGTATTTAGATTTCGTAAGTAATGTCTTAGGTATCCATAAGCAACCCCTAGAATAGTTGTGTGTGTATATATATATATATATCGCTAGCGGCTAGACCCCAGACCCTAAACCCTAAACCCGAGTTACTTCACTGATAGCCGTATGAAGTGAGTCTCGTGATGCTGCATGTATGACTTCGCGGTGAGAACCTCAAAGGTCCGTTTAGGGCTTTGGGTTGAGGGTTAGAGCAACTGAAGGAGACAAGAGCCTTGAGCATGTGCCTCGCCCGAGAAGCTCCCGAGACCCCTAAAGCCTAAACCCTATAAACCCTAAACCCTATAAACCCTTAACCCTAAGAGTCCATGTACCCATAACTTCATAACCCACACGCAAGGGAGCCTGAACATTGACACACGTTTGTGAACACATGTTTTTTTTTTTTCTGATGCTATGTGCTCAAAGATATTGCTGGGTCGGAAGATTGTGCTGACAGGGTTCTTGCATCGCTTCCGACTTCAGTGCTTTTTCTCCCGAAGTCTTCGGGCAGGCTTTGCTTTATCACGGTTCTTCCCGGGCATGTTCCCCGCCTAAGCCTAAACCCTAAACCCTATGGCTCAGGCATTCTCCCTGCTTAATGCTTTCTTCCCGGGCATGTTCCCCGTGGACGTGGAGGATGCAGACTACTGGCATCTGCCTGATTCATGATCAGCTCTTGGGATCCTTGGAACAGAAAAGATCTTAAGCCCTATTGGGGGGTTTTAGAGTTTTAGGGTTTTAGGGTTTTTAGGGTTTAGGGTTTTAGGGTATTAGGGTGTAGGTTTAGGGTTTAGGGTTTAGGCCCAAAGCCCTTCAACAAAGCCCGACATCCGAACGACCTTAAATGCAGAAGCCCCCGAAAGGAGAAAGGAAGCGTAAACATTGTAAGCGAATCGTTCAAAAGAAACTGCCGACGACTCCTCCAGCACTGGGGAGGATCATTTGAGCAAGGCTATGTACCCCAGCTGTGTTCGTAAAACAGTGTATCTTCAGGTACCTTGTTGCATATAGGCATATGGGGGTTTCCGAGAATAGGGGACCCTAATATAGTCCCCTAAATAGTAGGATCCTTATTATAAGGACCCCAAAATTAAGGTACCCTAATTTTCGGAAAGTCCCATATAGCATATTATAGTCGGTTTTTCGTCGACACTGAACTATGTCCGCTAGTCCTTCAAAGCCTATAAAACCGTACCAAGGACCTTGTGTCACTCTCTGCTGCATAACTCTACTTCCTGAGTCCTCTGGTCCTCAAACTAAGGTTTAGGGTTCAGGGTTTAGGGTTCAGGCAGTTTAAAATTAAAGATTTAGGGTTTGGGTGCTGGGGCCTCAAGGCCTTTGGAACCGCTAAGGAAAACTGGCTGGCCATTGGAAAGACGTCGCCAGCTTCGTCCCAGCACACTTCTTTAGTTTTGAAGAGCTGCTCGGCCGATAGCGTACGGGTTCTATAGGAACTTAGAGCTGCTAAGGCTTCCATATAGGCTTTTGCCACGAAGCCCCCCATGAGGGTGTCGGGCGCAGGGTTGTGGTTTAGCATCGGAGACTATGTCCCGAAATATCTGCAAGGTCTCACTCCTGTGACAAAGGGCACGGCCTGCGTTTGGACGTCATGTGCCGAACGTTCCCGTTTTCCGCTTAGGGTTAAGGGTTTAGGGTTTAGGGCTTGCACCACTGATGCGAGAGTCAACCCGACAGCAAGAGCTTGACATGGACATGATTCTGGTTTCCGGAGCAGTATACTTATCTCCTAGATCACCGCAAAATAAACGTTACGGGCTTATCTTTCACGTGACTACTTCTTTCGGCCAAGGAACATTCCTCCTAGATAGTAGTAGGGAGACCCCTTAAGGGGATCCTTCTTAACCCTACCAAGGGTCCGCCTAGTCCTAACTCCCAATTCCAAGCCCGGATCCCAAACCGACGACTTCTTCCTAAACCCTAAACCCCTAAACCCTAACCCCTAAGCCAAAAGCCACGATGCTGAGCCATCGAGCATGAAATCTGCCAGTTGGGTAACATCGGTACCAAATCAAACCCTAGGATCCGCTTTTCGGGTTTAAGCTTTTAGGGTTTAGAGGGTTTAGGGTTTTAGGGTTTAGGGATTAGGGCTTTAGAGATCCTAAAGAAGGTCCTCGTACAGCCCTGTCTTTAACCCAACAGGCAAGTACCTATAGAAATCATGCCGTCCCCGCTGCCCCACACAGACTCAGGCCGAAATCCGATTGTCCTTGTCCTAAACCACCTAGTTTAGGGTCCAGGATTCGGGGTTTAGGGTTTAGGATTATAGGGTGTCGGGTTTAGGGTTTAGGATTTGGTTTAGGGTTTAGCATATAGGCTTTCGGATTTGGGGTTTATAGTGTTTAGGGTGTGTTTGGACCTCTAGGGTAACTGGTTCGGGCCGCAGTTGCTGCGCTCTTGTCTGGTCGTTCCACGAAGCCATGAGTTTAGGGCTTCGGCGGTTTATGGGGGCTCAGCGTCCAGGATTTTAGGGTTTAGGGTTTTAGGGTTTCAGAGCTTAGGGTTTCGGCGGTTTACCCATAGGCCCCTGAGCAGTTCCTTTTTATGGTTTATATTTAGAATCCTATAAGGTAATCCCAAAAAGGAACTACTTAGGGTCTAGGGGTATGGGGCCTCATGGGACCTTGTTCAACATCCGCTATTCAATGGCTCAGCTCTAAATGGCTTGACACAGAATTATACCGATGGCCCAAATCATCTTAGAAGTTTGTAAGGGTTTAGGGTTTAGGATTTAGGGAATTTGTAAGTTGACCGGACTTTCACGGACCTAGTCCCGGGCCAATAATGCACGAGAGAAGGCTCATGACACGGTCGTTCGAGCCAGGCTTGATAGGAACCCAAGGCCAAGGGGCAAGCGATGCAACTGTTTGTTCTTCGGAGGTGTTCTACCCTAAGCCCTACACCGGTTCTACATTTGCCATGACCTTCGAGACACCTCGAGAGTCACAACCCTAAACGCTACCTGAACCCCCAAGAACCTCCCCTTTTGAAGGACTTGCGCTAGCTGGTCGGGCCGTTGTAAGAAGTGGAGAGGGGGGACCCATGCATGCGTGGATGTCCGTTGTTTGTGGAGGGTGTCAGCAAAGTTGCCAGGACTTGGGATGTAGGGTTGATCTTGAGGGTATCTTAAGTTTTCAGCAGTGTAAATCGTCCGACCTCTCACCGTTGCCTTTTGTTTTTGTTTTGGGGGAGGGGGGGTTGGAAGGCTCCAGACCAAAAAAAGGATTGATTAAGTCGACTAGGACTCGGAGGAGAAGTAGGACAGCTTCAATCAGCTTGCTTCTTTTCATTCTCTTCCGACTCGACGCTGTGTGCTTCGTCCTGGAAGTATGCAGGGATACACTGAAAAAGTTTAAGGTTTATGGGGTTTAGGTCTAGGGCCTAAGGGTACTGAAGGCTTTAATGTTGAACCTTGCACCACTCGCTTCTTGCCCTCTGGGAAGGGGACGCAACTGCATCCCGTATGGAACGGTCCCAAGGCGGACCTTTTCCCATGGAGGTCATAGAGTTTAGCCTCGGCTCAGTGAACTACAGCGCAGCCCTGCGCTTCTTGTCTACTCCCCTAAGACTGAAAGGATTACAAACAAGACCGGCTTGGGGGTCTAAAGTCTATGAACAAAGCCTGCTCTCTTCTTTGTAGCGTGGCAGGGCTTGGAGCAAGAAAGAACTTAAGCACCCTAAACCCCTAAACCCCTAAACGTTGCCTTTGTGGCTTCTCGCCCTGGCTGAGGAGACCTTACCGTGGCCCTGAGCTGCATGACAGCTGACTCCCAGAGCTCCTATCCCCAAACCCCTAAACCCCTAAAACCCTTAAGCCCTAAACCCTAAACCCCTAACCCTTAAACCCTAAACCCTACCGAGAGCCCGAAGCAAACATTACCAACACACCCCACCTGCAAATGCGACACACCCCAGCTGCAAATGCTGGACACCGGCGACCGTCTGGTTCACAAGGAAGGAGCAGGTGGATTCGAAAGTAGGCCCCCCAAGATCCAAGCGTCCCCATAGTAGGTTTAGGGTTTAGGGTTTAGGGCCCATGGTAGCCCGTACATTTCATTCCCGAAGCCGAAGCCCGCAAACCCCTAAACCCTTCCAATAGTGTCTAAGCACCAAGTGGTGTGGATTCAAGATTCAGTGATTGTGTTCATCTTCATGTCGGAATGGAGAATGTGAGTGCGTTGCGGTTTCGGGTTTAGGATGCAGTCTGGCATTTCCACTGTCTGGTTCGGGTCGTGGGTTTAGGGATTAGGTTTAGGGTATGATGTGAGCTGTGGAGCCAAGTTGAATGCCTCCATGATCCTATTTCCTCGTCATGCGGCCCCGTTAGTGCTAGGACACGGAGGCGGCCTGCCGGACACCGGACCGCGTTCTCGTTGCAATCCCTGCTAAGTTCGCAACTTGACGGCCCTACACCCCAGTTACCTATATTAGTAATGATTTGTATGTTGCCGGATTATGGAAACGACAAGGTCTATATACATATATATATATAGAGAGAGAGAGAGAGGGAGAGAGAGAGAGCGTGTTTAAAGGCTTGAGGGCTAAGGGACAGTAGCCCACTGTACGGTTCTGTGTCGCGTGTCGGTACACCCCCCGCCCCCCATGGTATCCCCCCCATGGTATTCACCCGAAATCCTCGTGAGGGTCGTCACTTTTGCATCCTCGTGAGTGTTGTGACTGTTGAAGCTATGCAACTTCGTGGCGACACTCACCTGGATGGGCCATGGTTTCGGTCTGTGCCGCGCCCAGCTGCTGACCCTCAACCCTATACTCTAGTTTTCACATCTATGCACCTACAAACAACCCCACCACCCACACCACAGGGGGGGTGCTGGTGCAAACCCTCAACCCTAAACCCAACACCCACCACCACACCACAAGGAATGGGGAAGGCGGTTAAACACTAAACCTGAAACCCACAACCCACCACCACGGCACACCACAAGGGGGGGAGCGGGGAAGTTAAACAACCCAAAACGCACCACCACACCACAGGGACTCCTGGATCCCAACCCTACACCATGTAGCCTTTAACACCCTATAGGGTTTAGGGCTCAGTGGGTTTATCTCCACAAATGCAAGAGAAGAGCTGCACTCTGCGGGTCCGCAACTTTGCAACCATGAAACGTCACACTCGAAGGCTTTGAAACCCTAAGCTAAACAGGTGGCCCCCAACCCTAAAGTCTAAACATGTCTAAACTTTAAACCCGGGTAGAACCCTTGCAGCACCCTCAATTATGGGTTCCTTTGCTAAAGTCTTTGTAGAAGTTAGGACTAAACCCTATAAACCCTTCCGTGCCCGAAAATGCTCCGAGAGGTTCAGGCCTCCTGCAGGTGCCTCCACCCGACCAAGAAAGCTCAGCTTTGTTGAAGGAAAAGCGGCGATGCGCGCTTCAGTGCCTTCTGTGTGTGCGGGTTGGCAGAGATAGGGTGAACAGGGTATAGGCTTCGTAGATGTTTGATACGTTCGAAATTTGTTTCGTTGACGGCTTAGTGACTTAGGTGTTACACCAAAGGATGTTGGATCTGGGCCGTCGGGTAGTGAATGCATGCGGGATTCATGATCTCTTTGGGATGTTCGGCTTCAGTGTCGGTTTCGCAAGTTTCGACCTGAATGGCGGTTG